GTTTTTCCATGAGATGTTGACAGATTAATTTTGTTATAAGGTTACTTTATTCTGCACTCTTGAGTTTATGATTTGGATTTATGAGGGTACTTTTAGATTTATAACCTAGATTTATAATATGCTTTATTAGATCAATGGAATACATTTGCTGAAATCTAAATACTTTTCTTTCAAGTTTTCTACTTTAATGCTGAAAAAAATTCTTGGATGCACATTAGTCATTGTGTTTAATAGATGCAAATTTGCAACACTATGACTGAACTTTTGAAACAGAATTTAGTAATAGAGCTAGGTTCGGGTCAGTCCTTAGGGATGGTGAGATTAATATTTAGTAATTTTCTAATTTTCTAACAAAAGAAAAAGGAAAGAGCTGAGATAGTGAAGAACTCTTCTATATTTTGACTGCCAGCCTCATGTGATACTTGATTTCATATGTTTGCCTCTCTTTTTGTTTTCAGATAAGATAAAGGAGGATTTAATTTTACAAAGAATAATTCACATATGGAAATGAGTAAATTACAAAATAAGATGTAGAATGGTAAGAAGTGTGATTATCAACATTGTAAACTCTACTGATTTGGAGAATGCTGCAAGTAATTGTATTTCAGTTTCTAAAATGAAATGTAAAATTGATAAAAATCAAAACTTCTCTAGTTGTCACTTAGGGAGAAATAAAAGACATGTGCTTTTGAATGCAAATATTAGATTTAAGACTTAAACTCACATGTTCGTCACATGCAATAGTCCTTAGAAAATTTTAAATCAAGAGGTAAAATTGCAAAAAGATCATAAGTGCTAGAATGACAATTTTCCCCTTCTCTTGTTTGTCACCCAAGCAAAAAATAAGAGAACACACTAAATTATAAATAAAAATTGAATTGAAATCATGCTTGTAGATACACAAAATAAAAGTCCACTCCATTTATTTATTGTTTGTCATTTAATAAAATGAGAAGAATAAAACACAAATTAAATTAAAACTAGAAGAGAAGAGAGAAAGGAAACCATATCTTTAAAAAAACAATCTAGAGAAAAGTTGATGATTGATGTAAATCACTCCCGAAACTAATCTCAATCTCTGTTTCTCCATAATTCATGTTTCATCTTTCATATTCCTTGCTATATTTTTCTTCCTTTGATGTCCTTCCATATTCTTTCTCGTCATTTATAGGAGATTTCTTTCAAGAAGTCGGGGCTGGATAACTGCCTCCTATTTTAGCAGATCTTCCTTCTTTTTCTTGACACCCTCTTTTGATTCTTCTTGAAACTTGTGGGCTTTCAATAACTTTCCTTCTTGGAATTTAATATTTCTTCTTGAGGGTTGAAGAAGAATCCATGAGATTCAGCTAATTTTTTGGTCTTGAAATATAGATAATCCTTCTTAAGGCCTTTTAAGCTTTGGAAACTACAAGAAAAGTTTAAATAAGATGTTAAAAAAATAAATGATCAATAAAATTAATTTTTTCATGTTCTCAATTTAGCACCCAGATCATGCATCTGCCAAAGGATCAACTTAGGGTTCAGGCCATGTGTTGATAAATATCTTGGTTGCTGTAACTTGCTAGGAAATTCAGAAAGCAATATCCAAAAATCATCACAAAAAAAAAGCTTTTAAATAAAAAAGACCAAATTTTGATATTTTATTGATTCCATTCATTGGTCTAAATTACTTATTAGAGAGAATAAATGGAAACTATGAATGTAGAGATAAAGGCATTAGAGAAGAATCAAATTAAGGAACTAGACAACTTACAATAAGAAGATGAAATAATTGGATGTAAATGGTATACAGTATGAGGTATAAGGCTCATGAGATAAATAACAATGTATAGCACAATTGTACCTAATTATTACACTTAAAATTTATAATATATTACTCAAAAATATTTGCTCATGTGGTAAAAATAAATACAATTATAATCCTACTTATTTTAGCGAAATATTATACATGGGATATCTAATAATTAAATATCTAAAATAAATTTTGACATGATGAGTTAGATGAAGAAATTTATATTGATTTACTACAAGGATATAAGATAGGTTCAAAAGGTCACATAATGTGCCAGTTGAAGAAAGCATTATATGGACTTAAATAATCATCTGGAGCCTTGTTTAGAAGGTTCACAAAAGTGATGTGTGAAATAGAACTTTAGACTTATTAATGAGTATCATACTTTATTTTTCAAACATTCGTCCTCAATGAGAACAACAACCCTTTTGGTTTATGTAGATAAAATAATGATGAAAGAGAAAATAAATATATAAATAAGTATTTATTAGAGTTTGATATTAAGATGTTGAGAAAGTTGAGATACTTTTTCAGCATTATAGCACAGTTGAAACAAAACATATTTATATTTCAACAAAATCATGTGATCTAATAAAAAATGTAAGAAGTTTAGTGTGTACATACATATACCCTTATTATCAATGCCTCATAAAAAAATTCATTTACCTTTCCACACAAGATCATACATTTAGTGGGAATATTTCATCAATTTATATATGGCTTGATAGAAACTCATCTTCTAACACCTGATAGAATATTATAATATTTAAAGGGGATGTCAATTAGAGTAACTTTATTTAAGAAAAATCTAATTATAGATATTGAGGTTTACAATGAAGTTGAGTACGTATATTTTAGTCAACCACTAAATATTGTACTCTTTGAAGGTAACTATATCAAACTATAGAGTAATAAATGACAAATGGTGACTAAATCGTGTCAAATCAGAATTTTGAGCAATGGCAAAAGACATATAAAGTATTGTGTGTGAGAGGTATTTTAAAAGGACGACAAATTAAATGGTGGGACCTGATCAAACTATATTCTGACAATAAATCAAGTATACGCATTGCATGTAATCCAATCAATATGATCAGACAAAACATGTTGACATTGATCGATGCTTTATTAAAAATAAATTATATAAAATATCATGAGAATGCCTTATATTATTATTCATGAATAATTGATGTACATACTTGCTAAAGGATTAAGTGGGCCAACATTTAGAGACTTACATCAGTTTTGATGAAGACAACATCTGAAAACCTTACATAGTTCATCTCAGGTGGCTGCTACCTCACTTTGATGGCAGTAGTCGTCCAATTTGCCTGCTCTGCTGCTGCTGCTCGCTAAACACGCATCAACCACAGCGTTCCAGCTAACCTGCAAGAGAAGAACTAAGGGGATGTGGGTGGGGATTGGGGAGCAGAAGCTGATTGAGATGAACCTCATGACATAGACTTAGGCAAGATCTTTTAGTCTATGCTCTCTTTTATCTTCATCCTCCACCACAATCACCCGAAGGTTTCCAATAAAAAATCGGGTTGGCTGGTATCTAAATCAAGTTCCACGGTTACAAGGTATTTCACTGAGTAAGGTCCATTGATCAATGACCCTTTTCTCTCTGATTTTCGTAATTCAACGGCATCTGTTAATTTTTTTAATTAACTTATTGCTTATTTTCTGAAGTTTACATCTCGAAAATGCCTAATCTATTAATATTTCTGCGTTCTCAACAACAAGAGAGATGAATGATGCAAGAGACTAAAGTTATTCGTTCAATAAAACAAGGGACATCAACACTCCTAATCTATTAATATTTTTCCTCCTCAAGTTCTACCATCAAATGAATGAATCGGTAATCAGCCCCTGAAACATGTTATGAAGTAAAATCCTACCCACCACAATGAATTTTTATAAATATGCAAGATAGATTGAGCTGGTTCATCCTTGACAATCTCTGGGAGGAAGAACCTCAAAATTGATGAAATATTATTGTGATTCTCTGATGAATGAGATTATCGAGATCTTCTCGGTAACCCACCATTCTTTCTTGGCTGTTAAACCACATCCTTATCCCAGGGACATGCTGGAAAACCCGAAGAATCAACGTGGAAGCTGTCTTCCTCGGACGCCCCAGCTCCATCTCTCTTCGTCCATCTATAAAACCAGCGCCTAGCTATCAGCCATCTCCCACAACTTCAAACACCCAGCCATCACTCTGAAGATCAACCTCGGTGTCTCCCTCGTCTCGATCCCCCCTCTCGCTATCCCACTTCCACACACGCACACCTCTCTTGAGTGTAGTCGGCGCAGATGGGCGCGCGCAAAAGGATCTGCTCGTCCTCGCCCTCGTGCTCCTCCGTCCGGGCGATTCTCTGCAGGAACAGACGTTCTCCGGTGGCCCTTCCTTCCGTACCGGTCTGGGCATCACCGACTCCTCCGCGGTGAGAGGACTGTCTCCGGGGACGGCCAACCAACGGAGACGGTCCACTTTGGGGAGCCCAATCACGGCGGTGAACGTGAAGGATTTCGGTGCACGAGGCGGCATCAAGGTAGTAGACCGGCCAACAACAATCTCTTTCGTCTCAGATCAGGGATATACATTAAAATTTAACGACAGAAAAAAGAACTATGAAATTTGATAAAATATTCCATCTTGAGCTCATGCCCAGATTCAAGGTTGATATTAAAATCACTAGTAGCACAGTAATTTTGTGGGAGAAACCTTTTTGCTCGATAATTTAAAAACTAGAACTCGTTCTTCCCACCGCCTGCTCTGATAAGGAGGAGAAGAAAGTGGCCTTTTGATTAAAATGATCATAACACCATAAACACAGATGATGAGTTTGTCGTTCAGCTGCAACATCATTTTGGCAAATCTGGTAGCAGCTAAAAGAAACCCAGGAATAAAAAGAGAAACCCACCCATATTGGGAATTGGAGGCAGAGAAGGTAGAAGAAACCAAGAAAGAAAAAAAAGAACCCAAGTTGGGAATAGAGCTGGAAGTTCATACAGCTGCTAGATTCAAGAGAAGTCAAACGGTTCCTTTCACAAAGCATATTCCTCCTGAAACCTTTCCGTTTCCTTTCTCTTTCCCTGTTTCATGCTCAGGTTGGTTTGAACAAAACAGCTGAGGAGTCTGAGACATGACCGAGGGCCTATGCACATCAACACAGATCCTATGAACAAAACAGCTGAGGAGTCAGTGATCATCTTGTTTACCAGGCCTTTCCGGATTGAGCTTAGCCTGTGTAAACCACGTGGTGTACAGAAATTGCTTGTGGTCGCCAGAATGGTTGCAGATCATCCGTAGTTTCTGCCTCTCCCTCATCCATCTCAGCAATATTTTCATATGCCTCTTGCTCGTCAGGCCAGTCAAGCCAACCTCCTGGGATTTATCCAGAAAAAGTTTGCCACAGATGATTTCAACTTGCCAAATCGAATAAAAAATTAAAATATGAAGAAAACAAATTTTATCAGGAACTGGAAGCTAATATCTTTTCTAATCAATTATAAATGGAAATTAAAAGGCTATTCGTTGAAGAAAAGGTCGTCAAGTTTTTCATGCAAGTCAGAATGCGTACGAATCCCTCCTCTCTGGGAAATATCCCTGGAGAAAACTGATCTGGAGTACATAGACTTGCAGAAATAACTCTGAAAGAGGCGACTTAAAATAGATGTGGTCTGTAATAATCATCCCAATGTACTGTTGAAGTAATGATTTTACATTATTAATTATATGAACATGTGCACAGCATCTGAGGCACCAATGGTGATGATTAACTGTTTCCAAGTAGAGATTTTCTGGAGAATAGCATGATGGCATGATTGCACCTTGAATCCCGGTGTTTACTAAGAATAGAGAAACAAACCTGCGATTCAAGTCATTATAGGTTTTGATGTGGACGACCCAATATCTCGAAGGAAAGTTTTTACCCATTTTCGTCCCAGAAAAGTTTTGGCAACCAGAAAAACTTCAGGACAAGTTTAACCACGGAAAGATTACTCGATATGTTTCAGAAAATATAGAGGGCATCAAGTCGAAAGCGCTCTGATTCATTAAGTAAATTCATACGATAAGACAAAAAGTATGAAAATAATGAATGGGATATAATAGTTAAGAAAAGAGCTGTAATGGAATACTAGTCATTTTTCCCTGATTGGCAGATTGCATGAAGGAGAGAACCTGGGAGCCAATAATATGGGGAGATTTGTGGAAGTACCGAGTAAACCATAAACAAATAGCATGCCATGAGAAAATGACCCAGAATGAAAAAAATAGAGGCGAAATATGCCTATAATGAAATGAGATATCAATATGAACGGAGTTCAAAGAGCCTTTCGCAGAGAGACTAAATAACGAAATATCAACCATAATCACTCCAAATTGTTGAGGTCTTATCTTCTCATGTAGTTTCTGTTGACAATAACATCCCCAGGAGGTTGGTGGAAAAAGTAAATTTTAACATTGATGCCTCTTCAATTTCTGTGAAGACAGTGTCTTAATCTTATAAATAATAAAGAAATAGGGTTTTTTATCTCCTGAACTCCTTTCGGAATGCTGACAGATTGGCTTCGTGGAGTATTTTTTTACCATAAAGTCTTGAATCCAGGCTTTAATATCTGAAATGGACGTAATAACAGCATAAAACTGGGATGAGCAGGACCAGTTTATGCGGCAGAATCTGCCTGAAACTTTATAATTCCAGGAAGGTAGGGTGAGTTACTGTCTGGTCTGATTTGATCTTACTTGGAATGACCACTTTTTATTCAGCAGTGCAGCTGCCAGAACTTCTGCTCTCCAGCTGTCAGAATCGAATCAGAAGAAGAGGAATGGCAAAGTTGACTCTTTATCGTACAAATGCACCCTTTTCAGTTACTCTGATTATATTTACATGCATGACTGTAATAATCATTCTTTTTTTATCATATAAAATCCAAAATTAGGTAGAATAGCCAGATCAGCAGCTCTGGTCGTATGAAATCCGGATACACTATAACTTCATTCTACGATAAGAAACAGCAAGCTTTGGTTGTCAGCCATGGGCAGGTCATCCATAGACTCCTCCTGAACTCCTCAACTTTATGCCTCAATTCCCAATGATCCTACCCTTTTCAGATAAAAATACTGCCAGTGGCGTATTTGAAAGTTTCAGGATTTCTTTGATAACCGTAGGATGCTGGCTGATCTACCATAGGGAAAATAATAGAGGGCGAAAATGACAAAACCAAGAAGAGTTGTGGGAAAATTGCTAACAATAGCAAATTATGAAGGAAGAATATGATATTTAAAGGGGAAATAATGGGAAACTCTAGCATTCAATCCTAACGGTGAAACAGCTTATCATGAAAGCCAGCCATTAATGTGAGTCCCAAAAAGTTGGCAATTACTACACTTTTGCTCCAGAAGAGATCCTACTGGTAAGAGAATGAGATCGGATGTACTGTCCCCAAAAAGCTCCACACAATTTATGCCAAAAATATAATTAAACCATCTATCTGATGAGCTTAATGAGGAGGAGAGGAGAAATTTACGGAAAAGCAGTAATCAAGGGATCACTAATTGATGCCAAAAAAGCCATAGAGTTTTCTAGGTTGATGATCTCATTTCAGGGGAGGAAAGGAAATAAAACGAAGAATGGACATTAAAAGATCGTCAGAGGAAGAATCAGCATGTCTAACAGAACTAGAGGCCAAACTCTCTCATCTCCCCTTCCATACTGAATATGAAGGAGCCCTTGGACTAGATTAGTGACCAACATTTTATTGGAATTGCTAGTAACTTATCCTATTTTAGATGCGCTATAGGAGAATTTAGGCCGTCTGGATTTTCCCAGACAGTTGATCGGAGTTTGATCCTCTGGAAATCATCACATCAATATTTTGGCAATCCTACTATCATACCTAAATGCCAATCCTACTACCGGCCACCCAACGAGAACAGATATAAAGCAGGGAAAATGTACCGGCAGGTTATTGACGGACGACAGCAGCGTGGAAGTCGGGAGGTTATAATGGGGGGGGGGGAGGAGGAGTGGGAGACCTTGACGCGATCCCAGGTTTCGCCGATAGTGAGAGGCCCGTGCTCTCGGACGATGTCGAAGAGGGTGCGGGTGATGGTCTGCGTCTGCTCCGGTGGGGTCTTCAGCTCGATGGGCTTCATCTTCGGCTTCGGCTTCTTCGCCGCCCACCTCACCATCGTCGCAAAAACCATCGTTCTCCTCCTAGGTCAACTCATTTGAGGTTTACCTCGTATCGGTCCGCTAGGAGAGGCCGTGAAGGTCAGTTATCCAGCACCACCATCACATCCACCGCCGCCGTCCACCGTTCGCCGACAATCCACCTCCGCCGCTTCCGCCGTCGCAATCGACCCCTGCCATCGTCCGTCGCCCGCCAATCATCCGCCGCTGCCACCTTCCGTCACCGCCGCAGCCGCAGCCGCAGCCGCAGCCGCTCGCCACCACCGTCCGCCACCGTCCGCCACCGTCCGCCACCGTCGCCTCCGCCCGATCCGGCCTTTCCTGATGAGTTCCCGTTACCGTCAAACGGTTAGGGTTAAATCCCCACCGATTCGTAAACCCGGATCCGTCCGGCCCCAACGGCCCATTTCAGCCCGGCCCAAACCAGTTTGGCCGCCTGGTCCAAGCCAGACAGCCTCGCCCGTCCAAACCATTTCGGACCGTTTGATCCGCTCCAGCCCGCCTTGCCTGGTCCGAGCCAGTCCGGCAGTCACTTTAGTCAGCGAAGTCAACGGGAAACAATTAAGTCAACGGTGAACGGTCGGGTCAACTATTCACAATTGGGGTCCAGCTTCAACGTGGGCTCTTCTTCCATTGATCAGTTGCCCATTCCAGTAACAAGGTTCTAAATCCTCTTTCTTTCCATATTTGAGTATTTTATTTATTTAATATATTATCTTATAATATTATTGTTACCTTGTGTGACTCCACCCTTAGATAGATCTATTTATTTTCATAACTAATGTTGAGAATATAATTACAGCCGACTTGATTTAGATCTTGTTAGTTTATAGATAGTGGAGCAGCCTAATCCTCAGTGTTTTCTTAATTGCATTGATGTGATTCATTCCAAAGCTTGCAGAAAAATACTTGATCTTACCTTAGTCAACCTTCTTAGAGTCAACTCCAACGTGAGAGTCAACTAAGCAACTTTGTCTAGGGTGAGTATAGTCTTTTCTCAACCCATCTCACATCAAGTTGGCTCTTTGCCGCCTTGGGTTCATTAGAAACTTTCTTTCAATTTAGAAGGAAACCTTCTGCATCTGATCCATCAGACTTATACGACGAATTCTTCTAACTTACGTGAGGGCTTGGGAGACATCTTTTAATGAACAAAATGGACCTCGAACTATGTAAGATGAGTGGCCTCTCAACTTTAACTAGTCTAATGACAGATACCTATGGTACTCTTTGTTTGAAAATAGGGCTACCACAAACACTTTTTGAGCTTATTGGCTCATGATCTCTAGTCAACGTTTTGTTAGTTCTCCCCCTCCCTTAGGATGCATTCGTCACTCTGCACTAATGAGATAATTAAACTAGGAGGAATTTTTTTTCTCTAGTTATTCTGCTGAAATGTTGACACGTGGCATATCATAGTCAACCCAATATCGAAGGCTGTATGTAGTTGCCCTGGTGATAATTTATATATTGAATCTTGTAGTTGTACTTGTATTATTGGGGTGCTTTCTAAGGGTGCCTGCCATGGATTTCACTCTGGTTCCACAGTCATTTTCAATTCAATATGATCAGCCAGCAGTGTCTTGGGTAAAATCAGATTGAACATGAGTCAATTACGAATCCTGAAACTATTGATTGGATTTAGTTAGTCTACCTTCGAATCAAATTTGAAGACCCAAACCGAAATAGACTTGCATGAATATAGGACATGGTCCTGTATTGTATACGTGGGAATTACTTTCTTATCACTCTTTGAACATCTTGTGTTTCATAGACATGACTCACAAACATTGCTGCCTAAACATAATTATTCATAGAAATTAAAATTTTATGAATTTTAAAAATGTAGGTGTAAATACAAAGAAAATTGATACACTCACACATACGATATTATGAATTTTATTTAATGACATAACTTGAAAGTAATGTAGTGAAATAAATTATTTCAGTACAATAGTAATTACTATCACTTCCTCTCGTAAAGAAGATGATGGACAGGGAGCTTTTCATCTGTTTATTAGGCGAAGAGAAGATAGATTCCTAATTCAAGAACATATTCTTCAAGAAACAGGTAAATATATGCACTCGTATTAATTCACCAATTCAATATATATTTTAAGATGCTGGAGTGAGACGCCTTTCAGACCTGTTTCCGGTTCTGTGGAAAAAAAGGATTCCATTCGCAGGTTTCGATCCGCGTCTTGTCGCAAAGAAGACTGATGTAGCATCCTGAGATCATTTGTGGCACGCTCGTAAGCGCGGGAGTTACACAGGAGAAAGGGATAAATAAATTACCCACGATAGCAAAACACCATATACCTGAGAGATGGAAACTGGAAAGATGAAGCAAAGCTGGGCTTTTGAAGTAACTGTGGAGAGCCTTACGGCATCTGTATCCTTAACTGTGGAGGGCCTGCGGGAACGCGACCGACAGGGGAGACGGTCCTCGCACACGGATGAGGTTACCAGCACCAAGGCGACGCCGGCACAGGCCTCGAATGCGGTTGGGGGAGGGATGGGAATGGGTGATGGCGGCGGCGGTGGTGGGGCAGTTGCTGACGGCTGAGATGGTGAGGACCGCCACTGATATGCAAATCTTACATGGCCACGGCGGGAACATGCTTTGGAAGGAAGAGCACAGCCTGAAGATGAGCAAGAACTTCCTGAGAGACTCCCTCCTTTCCAGTCTTGTTCTGTTCTCGTGTTGTACGTAGCCAGAAGATATTACGGAAAAATGAGACCAGGATCGTGATTCTGCAGAATACGACTGAGGGCTCTCCGAAGTATCCTTGGGGCTCGTTTTAGAGAACATCCTTTACCAACCTTTCTAATGAGTTCTGAAATTATGCTAAAAAACCTAACTCGTTTTAGATATCTCAATTATCATTTGGTCATTTAACATAAACTATCGATACTCAAAAATATTAAATGACCATTACAAAGTTTTCATCTTAGCTTAAAATAATTAGGTCCAGTTAGTTACCTCTTGGATGGAATGAGAAAGGAACAGATGGGTAAAATATAAGTAGGAGGTCCATGCATCTCTTATAACGTAAGAGAGATGGACAGATGGGGAGTGAGACAGGAACATCGCATAAAGAGAGAAGGAGGAGCCAGAAAGAAAAGCTTTTTGTTGGTCATGAGTGGATAGAGAGGAATGAACAAAAGGGAAGTGACAGGGCCGGGAAGAATAGAAATCAAGAAATCAAGAAATCAGCACACTTATATTTTCTGCATTTTTCACTATAGATCTACTTGAGACTCCTTTCTTCACATTCCCAAAATTTTTATTGACTATATAACTCGACATATTTTCATTCCCTTGGAAGAGTTTCCTTTTTCTAGATTTTCTTTAAATTCAGAGAGCATTACATCATCATTAATTGATATTTTCTGAAATTAAGTTGCTAATAATGCCTCGTCATCCTTAATAGAACTTTTTTACTTTTTATCCTCAACTGTTACATTTATTATTTCTTTAATCACAAAAGTTCTTTTTCTGTACACTCTAAGAGCTCTTGAAGTTTAGAAAAAAGTAAAAGTGGATTAATAGGAAAATTGTCAATAATGATACAAAATGTCGTTGAACTAAATAGTTTGGGCCAACCCGTTTGGATTTTGACCCTAACTCATTTTGAAACTTCCAATCTTTTTGGTCCATGCTTTTAACATTTTGACGTTAACTTTTCATATTTTCCAGAGTGTTGCACTATTTCAAAGAGAAGGAGAGAGGGAAGGATGGGTGGATTGAAAAATATTGTAGGGGGAGAGAAGCTGGTTGGGTAAATTCAGATTTTAGGGTATAGGGTAAGTTACTCCTTTCAAAGTCAATTAAAGACTGACTAAGAAAAACCATTTCTTAAATTCATACATATTTTCTCCAATTTTGGATGGTTCTTTAAAAATGATACCTAATAGAAACAAATAACTCATTGAATTCATTTACATACATTCGAGGTCTCACTGATGGTTTTGTTTTTATTTCTACTTTGTCCATAGTATGGAAAGTTATGAATAGATGATTACAACATGATCCCCTGCGTCGTAACAAATGGGTCTGAAAAATTAAGCAATCAAATAAAATATAAGAAGCTAGAAATTGGATTTTAGATATTAAATATGTATGTATGCAAATAACCACATCACATCATAAATACATTAGACGTCACAACATCCCGGAACTTATTCTGAATTATTATATTCCCTTAAGAGAGTAAATCTTTTCAAAGGAGTCAAAGAAGAGTGATTCTTCCGAATCTCCTTCCAGATACTTGGGAGATGAAGTTCCTCTCTTCTTGAAGGAAATAGGAACACTTATTCCACAATATGAAAACGAATTGCCACTTTCTTCTGTCTTATAAACCGAAAATACAACAATGAACAGCAGTCTCTCTTCTCCACAGTGCTGCTGGAGTTCCCAGATTTCGCAAATGTTTTTCTTTCCGTTTTCCCGTTGCTCCACTTTTCTTCTATAGGGCCGCTATTTCTGTTCCACTGACTTTGGGAAGCTAATGAATCCACCACTGGTGGGTTCATCACCTCACTTTTTAGCTCCTTCTTAGCTTCTTTTGAAAATGAATAGGATGCTCAAAGAAATGAACAGGACGGTCGAAGAAAATGCCAGAAAATGAATAGAATGAGAGCCATCGTGAGCGGCTGTAGCTGACTGTTACTTTAGTTTGAGTCACCATCAAATCTGCTTAACCACTCTAAAAATTAGAAAAAAGTTAAACTGTTTGGCCACTGAAGGGCAACTCTGATGAACCAGCGGGAAAATTGGGAGATCTGAAATCAATAGGTCGTAACTTCTTCAGTATTTTTTAATTTGCAAACGCCTTTATTACCTCCCAAACAAGGATGCTAACTACTCAGATATTTTTAAAACCCATAAATAATTAAATCATCAGCCAGTCCTCTCTCCAACCTGAGAGCTAGCTATCTAGAAACGGAATCTCAAAGCAAACCCCAGCTCGAAGGATGCATGACGTTGCACGGGTAAGAATATACGAGCCAG